TGGGGACACCGACACCCACAACTGTGACAGCCAGCAAGGCAACCACTGCACCAGGGCAAGGTCTGGGAGTCTCTGCACACCGCAGCCAGAGCCACAGGAGGAGCCCAGCCGTGGTGGGCAGGAGCTCCTCAGCCTCTGCACACCCGTGGCTGCCCAGCAGCAGCTTGACTCAGGGACAATGCCCCATCTGGGGTGAGGGTGCCAAGCACTTCGGGGCTCACCCTTGTAGTGCTTGACCAGCTTCTGCTGCGTGTCGAAGCTGATGCGCGGGGAGACATAGAAGCCGCCGCTGTCCAGAGTCCGGATCTTGTAATGCTTCACTGCTCCACCTCGCAGCTCGTCCCCGTCCCGCACCGACAGCGAGTAGCAACCTGGTCGGGGAGGGGTGAGCTAGAAGCCCCCGTGGGGGCACATCCTCACTGTGCCTGGGCATCCCGTGGTCCCAGCACACATAGAGCCTTCACCCAGCGGAGCCAGCAGCACCCATCCCACCCCACTGCCACCACCCCTTCACCCCAGGCCAGCTACACCTGCATGCCAAACACCCCAAGCAGCCTCAAAGGGACACATCCCCCTGTCCCTGCCATGGGGCTCGGACATGTGGCAGCACTACACTCACAGTGGGAACATGGGCCCCCAGTCCCTGCCCACAGCACTGCAGAGCCCCTGGGCTGGGAAGGGATCTCCTGAACAACTCTGCCAGGCAAATGTTGGATGAGGTAGGCTCCCCCAGGAAGCTGTTCCCCACCACCGTGCTGTGGACACCCCTCCACACCTTTTGTCGTCTCGCTGTCCCTTATCATGAAAGACCCAATCATGTTCCCAGGGCCAAGGAGCTGTCGTTCCGCATCCTTCCGGCTGATGCCCTTGAAAAACCACCTGCAGCAGAACCAAATGAATCAAGGAATACTGCTGGGGAGCCCAGGTTGGTGAGGGCAGGGCTGAGGACAGGAGCGGGGACAGATGTGGTGGGGAAGCGTAGAACTGCATAGAGCCAGGATGTGCCACCAAAGGACAGACTCACTCCTCAGTCTCCAGCGAGTTGGCTCGGGCAACATAGTTGCTGGGGATAAAGCCTTCACGCCCCATCACCAGTGACCTTGCTTGCCACCAATCCCCTGACCTGTGACAGAAATGGCATTGGGTCAGCTCATGGCACCTGGCACTGGACACCAGAGGCTCCTCCAGGGGCAAATTCCAGAAAAGAACCCCAGCACAACCACACAAACCTTCAGGAAACCCCAGGTGGGGGGATGTCAGCACTACTTACTCATTCAGCACCTTCAGCCGCTCTCCTTTCTGGAAGCTGAGGTCCCCAGTGTTCATTGCCTCGTAGTCATAGAGTGCCAGCACAACACTGTCCCCTGAGCCTGCAGCAAGGGAGCTTCCTGGGAACCCTTCCCCATGCTGGGATGAGGTGCCCAACCACCTCTGCCATGAACATTGGCCAGGATCCCCACAGGACCCAGAGCCTCCATCGTGTCACATCTGGCCTTTGAGGGAGCCCAGAGCTCCGGTCCTGCCAGGACCAGCAGTGTTTGCCCCAGCTCAGAGAGGACCCAGCCACACTTACCCCACACACTGCCACCACCTGCACCCACATGCAGCCCCCTTGTACGTACCATCGTCAGATGGACACACAGCCATGCTGGGGACATTATTGTTCTGGAAAGTGGGACAAAAGCAGAGAGTGACATCATAGGTGGAAGAGAGCCCACCATGGGGCTCTTGACCCCCAGCAGCAGTGGTAGCACCAGCACCACCTGACACACCAACCCACACAGCACCATCATCTCCATCCCCTCCCAACTCCTCTGGTTTTCTTTCCCTTTTTCTATAATTCTTGGCTTCCTGTCAGGTCTGCTCTGTGCTTTGCCCCAGCATGACCTGGGCTCCCATCCCACAGTGTGGTGCGTGGGCACTGCCAGTGCCCACAGCCAGCCCCACTCTCAGTGCTGGCAGCTCCATTGAGGAGAGAGGCTGAGCCCCCACAATGTACCCCCTGAGTGTGATGCTCAGCAGGTCCCACTCACCTTCCTGTTGTCGGCTGTAGGGTCCCTCACGTAGTGGCCCTGCTGGATGCCAGGGCTGGGGTCAGGGTCAGTTTTTATCTTCTTTTGGACACCAGCTTCCTTCGACCTCACGCAACCCATCCTGCAGCTACGGGAAGGGAAGTGAGGCCATTGCAACAGAGGTGAAAGCCCCACTCTGGCCCCACTCCAGCCCTGTTCCCAGCAGCTCCTGCCTGGCATGGGGCTATGATGTCCACCCAGCTGCACTGCTGCAGCAGAGAGAGCTCCACTCCCCCCACAGAGGCAAGGCTGGTGGCAACTGCAGGGTGCTGGGCTGCCCAGCAAGGTGCACAGTGGTGTACCAGTGATGAAAAGAGATCTGGAGATGTCACAAGAAGTGAATTTTGGGCAGACAATAGCAGCTGCCATAAAGTGGCTTCCCAGCCCCTCCCTGATCCAGGATGGGGATGCAGGCACTGGGGACTGCGGCAGCATAGCGTTTTCTGCAAAGCAGGAGCCTTGTCATGGTGGGCTCCCCCACAGCTCAGGGTTCCACACACAGCTTGACTGATGCCTGTGGCCCCCATCACCATGGGTCACTGCTTCCCACCGTGCTCCTTGCTCTCTGCCAGGTGGAGCCACCTTGCACAGCTGGCCCAGGGTGAAGGCAAATGCTCAACTTTCTCCAGCTCCCCAAGAACCTCAGTAGGAAGAAGTGCTTCAAGAAGCAGTAAAAGTGGGAAACTCCTCTCAAATGCACTTCCCTTGGCCAGGGGAGACGTGGGCACAGAGAAAGGAGAAGGTGCTTGTTGTGACTGTGAAGCAGGAAGCTCAGGGCTGAGTCCTCGATGTGCACAGCACAGCCACACTTCTACAGCCCTTGAGAGATATTGCTGTCACCTCCCCAACACCTTATGGCCACTCCTTGCCTTCCCTGTGTGCCAAAGACTGGAACAGCACCACTCTCTATGGCAGAGCAGGAGCAGCAGTGGCAGCTGTGACAGATCATCCCCCCCACCAGGGACACCCTGGGAACAGGCTCGAGGCTGTACCAGATCCATCCTGGCAAACCCATATGGCTTCTGGCTGAAACTCAGCTGTGGCCCACAGCAGCACCATGGCTAGTACTTGCTGTGGCAGGGGCATCACAAGAGCATTACACACTGGGTCAAGGCATCTGACCCTACAAAATGCAAACCCCACCGGGGTGTCTAAGGGTCCTGCTGGCACCCCATCAACACAGACCGTGTGGCCATGGCACTCCCACCA